GAAGTATCTTATTTATTATTGCATCTGTAAGATTGGGACTGTGCCTGGAATATATTAGGCAATTGCCTGTGGGTATGAATTGAATTAGACAACATAATTTACTGTAATTTGAACTTGTATATGGAAAATATGAAAACTTCTTTAATTCCTTGAGTCCATTCTTCACTGAAATCCCAAGAGCAAGGTCACAATGATGGCTCAAATTTGGTAAGGAATAAGGAACAGCAGTTACAATATTTGCCCAAATGGCATGGCAGGGCCTAAAATGTGAAGACTGATTTCCAAGTTTTAATTTTATCTACTACACCACCAATTAGAACAGGGAAATAGATACAGATTTTGGAGAGGGTTGCCAAAATCGGAAGAACTAAAGTTCTGGAACTGGGCCAGACAGAGTAAAGACAGAATTGAGGCCAAGATGCTTCCCAAAGCTTTTATGTTCTCCCCTGGTAAAGAAGACTAATTATGGACACACACTGTCTCTCAGACCTCCTACTCACAACACCCTAGTATACTCAGTGGTACCGATGTAACAGTTATTTCTAAACTGAGCCGGTCATTCCCACTTAAACCTACCCAGATTTAAAAATTCTCTCCCCAGATAACACCAAAGATCATAAGAAGACTAGCTAATGTTTAATTAGGACTTCCTATAAGCTAGGCTCTGTTCTAAGTCCTTGACTTGCATTTAATCATTTAATTCCACACTAACTCTACAAAGTGAATAGAATTATCATTTTTCATCTTTTAGAGATGAAAAAACTGAAGCTGGAGGGGTTAAGTCACCTTGCTTAAAGGCACTTGCTTATCAAGCGGCAGAGCTAGGATTCTACCCAAGTCAGCAGATCCTCTTAACACTACCCAATGCTGTTTCTTTTCTTCTTGAAGTGATTCAGTGTGAGCCATTGGAGGCCCCAGAGCTGGGTACCATGGATTGTATTCATCCTTTGGGAGACTTCAGCTTCAGCACACAGTGTGTCTTCAATTGCTCTGAGGGAACAGACATAATTGGGATTAAAGAAACCACTTGTGGACCATCCGGAAAATGGTCATCTTTAGAACCAACCTGTCAAGGTGAGTAACTGTTCCAACTAGAGGCTTTGTCATGGCAGTCCTAGGTTTACAAAGGGAAAATGCAGCAGTGTCTCGCTAAGAAGTCTGTATCCTCTTTTGGAGCATAATTTAACCTAACTTAGATTATACTGTGATGCTTTTCAAAGGGGTTATTGTTACTAAAATTAAAAAGAAAAACCACAAACAAAAAATAACAACCAAATACCTCTGAAGCCATCTTACAGTATATACATATTTTTAGCAAAAGAGTGTGGTTATACAGTATTTTGTATTTTATTTTATTTTTATTAATGCCATGGCATAAATAATCAATCCTGCTGAACCTCAGGTAAATTTTGGCTGTTCTCTTCTCTCAATAACACCTATTTTATGTGGTATCCTACTTAACACCAACCAATTCCCTTCGTGGGGGGTAGAGGTCTTTTTTGATTATTTGGTTTATTTGTTTATTTGGTTTGGCTTTGTTTTATTTGTTTTCGTACCCCATGAAATATCCAGCCAAAATAAATGTGTTGTATTTACAACTGTATATCTCTGACATATACTGTGTAGTATTATGTGAACTTTTGTTTTTGGCCTTGCCCTGTCATGACTTGGAAGATTACATAAAAAGCAAGATTACCTTCTGTGTAACACCCTCCTAACAATATATGGTACAGTTTCTTCCAGACTTTAGAGTTCTAATGAATCCAACAAGCTCACCAGATTATGAGTTTCTTAAGAGGGGAGATCTACCATGCCTGATTCATTTTTGTAATCCTTACCGCTTTTATCACAGTGCTGTATTCTTTGTGGCACTCAAGAAGACATGTTGAGAAGTGAATTAATTAATTATTCTTGAAACATTTTTTATTTTTCCTCTCTAAGAACTCTCAGAAGAGTAACAACTGCTGTGAAAAAGTAAAACACAATCTCTTGACCTTTCTTTTCATTTGAAATATGGTGGTTTTTTTTCTTTTTAACTGTCAAGAGATTATCTCTATGCAAAAGAAAACTGGTGGCATCTGAACTTGTGAAGTTTTGGTACTATGGGCCCCATGTCAGTTTGGTAAAGCCCTTTTCCTTTCCTTGTTTCTTCCTATGTAAAGTATAATTGTAGATTATGGAAGTTGGTTGGGACAAAATGATACTAGCTATTCTGAGAAATGAGAAGTTTTGATCAGAAGGCTATGCTTGCACAATGTTGTTACCTTTCTGTAAAGATTTCATAAGTCAGCATGAAGTTTCAATTCACTTCTCAACAAGTCTTCTTGAGTGCCACAAAGAATACAGCACTGTGATAAAAGCTGTAAGGATTACAAAAATGAATCAGGCATGGTAGATGCCCCCTCTTAAGAAACTCATAATCTGGTGAGCTTGTTGGATTCATTAGAA